ATTGAGATGAAAAGAGAGAGAGAGAGAGAGAAGAACATAGAGAACTGGAGCAGGGTGAGGTAGCAGACACTGTTGGCATTTTAAATCACGGTCATTGCGTCATCTACGCAGAAGTGTATTGATTGGAAATTTTTGCCACTCTACTTCGAGTCACGGCACTATGCGTCCGTCCATCACACTAAACATTCATCCCCTGCAGGTCCCATTTATCAATCCCTCTATCGCAATTTAGGGCAAACCATGCAATTCATATCTTGTAATTATTCGGCATTGGTCATTTTAGCCAATGATATATGTGTACATTTCATATTTCATGACCACCATAGCTTCATGTGTATAGTAGGCCCCTAATTTTCTTCATGTTCATAATAACATATTTTATACAACACCTACGTGGATCCTTGTCATTTGATTGGAGGATTGTTGATCACATGATATTCAATAGATGTTATATTGCACGGTCGTGCATTTTTGGTTATATGCGCCGTGCATTTTTGGTTATATGCAGACTGCGTACCTCTCAGCCGTGCGCGCGCGTATCCCTGCGTGTATCTGACGCGAAGGCAATCTGAATGTAATCGAGAAGGCTTGACTCCAACTTTAATTTATCTGTAATATAAGGAGTAAAGCATAATTTGTTGATTAACGTTCTATTAGATCTTCTTCGATGTTGTATAAAACAAATAATGAATGTTTTTCATTCGTTCAATGGTGCGAATATTTTCATTCGTTGAAAGATTAACGTTAATTCTATTCAACTCGGCTGACGCCTCGTTGAATAGAATGTTAATCTTTCAACTCATGGAAATATTCGCACTATTGAACTCATAACCATTCATTATTTGTATAATAACAGGTACTTTGCTGCCTCACATAAAACCCACACAAAAAAAATTCCAAAAGATTTGAACTATATTCTCTTAGTAAGTACTTCGCAGAGAATCGTCCTGTTTTTAAAGAGTAGCAGAACCTTTAATTTAAACAAAATTGACCAACCAGTATTAACAATGACAAACGTTCATACGGGACCTGCTTAAAGGGTGCTCAAAATTTCAGACTGCAAGCAAGCCACATTGCAAACATGATATGTCAACCTATTTCACGTCGCACTATTGATGCCCTAGTATTTCAAAACACCATTTTGGATACCTGGGACTATTGTTAAGTGATAAACCATAGGACTGACTCGACTTGAGTCATCTTGGAGTGTAACGTCAGAAACATCATCCTGAATCACTTACTCTGCGTCATGACCGAATCAATCTACCGACGACACCCCCCCCCCCCCCCTCCCCCTCCCCGAGGAAACGGGCCAAGATAAAGAACGATGATGTCATCAAAACTATGGTGTTTGCGTCATAGGATCCAGGCACTAGCTGGCTAGCATGACAACCCTGATGAAATGCTTCCCTGAACGCCGTTCGGATCCGTCTGAAATGAAAGTGCCAATCTTACCGCATGAAATGATCTAAGATGGGCAGGCAGATAAAGTCCTGAGGAGTCAGCTTGGCGCAGATTCCATCCAATACTTGAGAGGCCGAATGGCTCTTTTAATGAATAGTTGCTATTTAGGTCATATAATACACTGCAGGATTCTGTTTGCATGGATTTTTTTTACCATTAGATATTTTCATCTAGATCTATATGACATATGATTTTACACCATGAAATTTGAAATTCATTTCAATTTGATTTGAGAATGTTATTAGAGTGCCGGTGGATGGTTAGAGTATGTAGACACAGAGTGACAATTAAAAGCCTCCAATAAATATGACATCTATCAAATCTATTGTTTTTTATTTCTGGAGCTCATTAAAGTCAATTATCATATCTCTCTCTCCCTCTCTCTCTCTCTCTCCCTCCATCTCTCTGTATGTCTCAGCCCATTGTTGTCTGTTACTATCAATCTTTCTGTCTCTTTCTCTCTATCTCTCTCTTCCCCCCCCCCCCTCCCTCTTCTCATATCACAATCTACTAATATCATCTTATATGAACAAATTCCTAAATCATGTTTCACCATCATAAATTGTTTATAATGATGCACGAACTAACGCAAATATCATATACGTTCAACTTTAATTTAAACTGATAAAGCCTTGAGCCTAGCCTAACTTTCTCATTCACTTACTGTGAAATGAGGTGACTGAGAGCAGCTAAAGTACAGGGCCTTTGGAGTGCAGCAGAGCGTGACGCTTTGATAGTCTTACCCATCAGACACTATGTAACCCATCATGACTGGCGAGGGTCTGTGTTCGCAGACTACTTCCCGGTAATCATATTGCGCATTAAGCATGGACTGATATTCATGGAAGGCGCCCGAGTTATTGATTTCCCCCAATCCGGCACTTCCCAACCTGAACAAATCCCCGCAAATGTCAGAGGGCGACATTAAGGACGAGACTCGCACCCTTTCTCTTCCAGCATTTTGTTGGTTGTTCTTTAATTTCTTGGGTTTTTTTCCATCCTGGCCATCGCTTTTCCCTGGGTCCTGGTGATTAACATTTGTAATGGTTTTTTGTAAGTATCAGCATAAAGTGCTTCTCCAACAGCAAGTAATGCCTTTAATGTTCTGAGGAGGATAGCTAATTCAGACTGTTTAAACCATTTGGATGACAGGGGAAACTCATCTCGTCTTAGCGCCAGACAAGCTTACATTTTGACCAGTCTTTATTATCAAAGGGGCTAAGCCGGATTAATAATCTTTTATTGGAAATGTAAACTGAATTACAATGAAAGCATCTCAATCCATGGCTAATATACATGAAAGTCTTCCTTACATATATCTATGCGAATAAGAAAAGAGAAATCTTGGTTATTATTAGTTCCAGTTCTCTATTAAAGCAGATAGAAAGTTGTTACTATGTTTCAAAATGTGACTGTGATATCCACTGTGAATGGCAACCGAAAGTCAAATTTGGCATCATACATGTACCTGTATGCAAATGTAGGCTAAAGGGTTTCTCATCCGCCAACCCGAATACAAGAAAACCCTCTCTGATATTGATTCAAAGGCGAATGAATGTGATACGTTTCTCCAACATACATGTTGCCTTCCTGGTGGTACTAAACACCATGTATCTCGATCAGAGAGGTAGTTATTAAAATGCCCTATTTCTTTTGAATCAATAAACGATACAAGTGGTGGGGAAATTACAGAGCGTCCTGAAACACAAAATTTAATCAACCTCAAGAGGTTCCTTTGGTGAGAGGAGTTTTTATCGCTCCCGTAATCAATCTTCGCTTTCCCGGAAAACGCACAATCCTCGACGCATCATGCAAATTGGCAAGCAGTGAGAGAAGGGGAAGGCCAGCCACGTGACGAGGTGGTGGCGCGACAGCTTCGCGTTTAAAAGAAAAAATGCATGTTTAATCTAGTGCATGACCTTAAAGCAACGTTTGGATCCTAAGAAATGTTTCATAGATGAATTGTATGTTGATGATAAGGTTCTACTGCTCAATAACTTGAGGTGTCTCTTGTTCAAAACAAATGATGTCTCTGCAGAACAAGCAGACTCCACTCCGAGCCAGAAAGGCATTACCTTACATGCTAAAATGTGGACTTAATGTCCATCTGCCTCCATTAGATGGAATGTCATTGACATTATGTCAAATTATTATGAACAATAAGTGTTTTGTAACTCTCAATCACATTTGTTGCTCTTCACAGATTTCCTGTCAGTTTTCCTGTCAGCCAAATTTAATCTAGAAATGTCAGAAATGTCACACAGCTTCCAACATTAAAGGGAGTGTAGCTAGGCAAATACTGGTTAAATGCCATCTACGTCTTCTTTTGGACAACTGCACGTAAAACGAATGGACTTGATTAACAGTAGACAGTGACTTAATCTCTACATGGTCAGCGTTCGTGCAAATTTTTTGAAACTCTTTGAAAATAAAAAAAAGATTTGTGGAACAGCCTGGAAGGTTTCATTTCATTTGATATTCATCAAAATATTGCCCAGGTATGTTAAAACTTCCATCATCATGATCGTCACATCATCGCAAAGCATGTATCATCATCAATGATTCAGTCCATAATACCCCATCGTTTAGACTTGCACCCTGAGGTGTTTTGACAGGGACCCTGATGAATCACCATGTGCTTTGTTTGTTTGGAGAACCAGTGCTAACAGTTGAGTCACCTGGTACACAAGACTAATTAAGGGAGGACTCATAAGATAATTGTTGTCGTAGAAGAACAAAGTAGTCAATGTTTTCCTCGTAATTTCAGCAAGTATTCTCATTAATATAGAGAACCAGTGCTATTAAACAGTTGAGTCACCTGGTAAACAAGACTAATTAAGAGAGGACTCATAAGATACTCGTTATCGTAGAAGAACAAAGAATTGTCAATGTTTTTTTTTGTAATTTAGCAAGTCTTCTCATTAATATACGGACCGTTTTGAACATAGTCGTAAATATTTTCCCCCCTTTGCCCACAGCCTCCTTGAACAACAGACATGTCCTCTTTATGTAATTAGTAATTATATGAAGTGGAGACACTTGTTGTTCTAGAGCCTGCCGCTTTTGTGAAACCTGTCCTCAGGAACAATGCGTTTTACTTACCGTACCAATAAGGGGTGTTTTCTTGGAAATGTTTCTGCTTTGAGACTTGTATTGTCGTAGGTTTATTATTCGAATTTCTGTTGATATCTTTATATGGAACACTGAGTACAAATTCAATTACTTTTGAGAACAAAAGGGTGTAGGTGTACGAAGTATAGTGACTTGACGTGACAACCCCAAAACATCCGATTTCTCTGATGACATACCCTAAAATGTAATGAAATAGAGTCTGGAGCAAGTTTCATCGAAGCAAATGTTGAAAGATTCGAGCCAAATAAAGCCGGAGGCTCCACTCCTGGTGGTGCCCTTCCGCCAATTCCTTTAAGTTTCGGCTCTGCAACCATACTTGCCTCAGAACTCAAAGACGTTGGTTTCCCTTAGACTGCCTACCTGCCGCATCATGGGAGTAAAAAATAACAACAACAACAACTCACCCAAATGTCCAGTTGAGGCCCATCGTACTTCTGGCCCTCGAACACTTCTGGAGCTGCGTAAGGTGGACTGCCACACCACGTTGCCAGGTGCTCGCCGGGTACAAAGAAATTACTGAAACCAAAGTCTGCTATCTTGATGTTCATGTTGCCATCTAGAAGTAGGTTTTCGGCCTGCAAAGGAAGAAAAATCAAGAACATAGACGTTACTCATAATAGACATAGAAATCTTCATTTTCTTTTTGTTTTGATATCTATTATGTGTCTTAATTCCCTATGCAAATGTAAAGAACAGCTCTAAAAAGATATGCTAGCATGTATCAAATGAATAATTATTTCTGTTGAGTGCAGCAAGGGTGTAAACTTGTAATTAAATACTGAATTCAAGCCCTAATTTGACCTTGCTCTAAGCAGTCAACATATTTATATGCAATATGTCAATTAAATATTTCATTCCTCTACTTACAAGGGAGGACAACAACAAAAAGTACAATGTTAGGTAATTATTTGATACAGTCAAACCTGCTTTAGTGACCATCTGTCTACAAAGACCACATTGTTTGTTTCCCTTGAAAATGGTTTCTCATTGAAACATGTACTAAAGCAACCCATCTACAAAGACCACCTTCATGTGTTTCCCTTGGGTGGTTGCTATAGACAGGTTTGACTGTATCATATAACAATCACATTGGATTATGGGCAGCACCAGATTATTTATTGAGGTGGGGTGGGGAGGGGGAGGCACTGGTATCTACAAGACCTGCAAAAGGCTCCTCAAAACACTGCGCCTGCATTGGACGTACACTTATCCACTGACAAAGTACAGACTGACCCTAGCAAAAAATGGAAGCCAGATCGGACCATAGTTACGAGCAGATCACTTCACAGCTAACTAGATTACTGCCTGCTGCCTCCGGAAATGTGGAATTGATTTCTGCAAGGTGGAGAATAGCCTGTCGTCGTTGTCGATGGTATACCTCATCATGGTATGTCACAGTATATCAAAAGCGGATTCCAAGTGGATTGGGTGCCAGTCTTATATTTCATTATTATTATTATCTTTATTATTGTTATGATCATGATCATTATTGTGATGATGATGATGATGTGGTGCCCAATAATTTATTATCATCATTATCTTTATCATACTTTGTATCATCATTATCATCATCATCATCATTGTTACTGTGTTGATGATTTGGTGCCTTACAAGTCTTAGAATTTATTATCATCATTATCTTTATTATACATATTATTATCATCATCATCATCACCATCATCCTCATTATCACCATCATCACCACCATCACCATGATGATCATGATCATGATCATCATCATCATGAAGATGATGCTACCCTAGAAGATAACAATTAGCTTCTATTGGCAATTAGGCCTCTATTTTAGAATATCTTGTTGATACTGTTATATTTCTTCTAAAAATAACCTTGTAGCAGATATACTTCATCTTGATAGTCATTTATGCCTATATGTACACCTACTTTGCATCAATTGGCTTAGATTGGAGCTGAAATCAGGGTGAGGCCCAGATTGATTTACTCACTGCCATGTATAATGCATGTGTGAGATACATGAATGTTTTGATGCATATATTAGGTGCTAAAATGTCTGTACGGCGCACTTAACTGAACAACTTTGAATTTTCGCACGATGGGAGAGCATACTGGGATGGATGAAGAATTAGGGAGGGGTAAGAGATGGTGCCAGAAGGGGGGAGGAGATGGTGCGACAAGGGGTGTGGACAGTATTGGGGAGGGAGGGAGAACATGGATGCTTGGAAGCACATTGGGCACAAATATACGCTTTGCGCACAAACTTAACAATTATGAATGTCCATTCAATGAGTATACAAGGATGGATGAAGGATTGAGGGAGGGGTTAGCGATGATGAGAGGAGTGTGGATGATGTGAGGAGCGGGGGCGGGGTTGGTTGCAGGGGAATGGAGATTGCATGTGTAATTGAAAGGTAATGTACATGGACGTTTTGATGCAAAATGGGTGTCGCATCTACTCTTCGCACTTACTTAACAACTGCCAATTTTCACACTGTAAGAGAGCAAAGCAGGTATGAAAAGCAAGGAAGTGGGGGTGGGGGAGGGGGCTAAAGGGATTATGAGAAGGGGGCGGGGTAAGGGGATGGTACATGTATGAGGACTACATGAATTAAATGGATGTTGGTTGTTTCACTGCCTACTAACTACTACCTACAAAATGGCACAATTTAACACTTTGAGGGTGGCGAGGGGGTATGATGGGCAGAGGAGCTGGGGAGGGGAGGGGAGGGGTAAGAACTGGTGGTGGAGGGGGGGGGTAAGGGCTGGGGTGAGGAGGTGTGAACTATATGGATGTTGGTGATGCACATTAGTGTCAAATGCCTGCTCTGCCCACACACATGACAACTTCTCATGTTCACACTGTGCGAGAGAGAAAGGAGGAAGAAAGGAGGAGAGGGGTATGATGAAAGGGGATGGTTAAGGATGGAAGGGGGAAGGGGGAATTAAGGGGGGAAGGAATGTGCAAGAAGGGGGAGGAAGGTGCATGAGTGAGTGAGGGAGGGAGAGAGCAAAAAGAGGGGGTTGAATATTCCACTCAGAGTGAAAATGAAAAGAGGAGAAGGAAAACTAGTTCACATTAAAAAAAATATGATAAACAAGATAGGTGAATAAAAGGAGAGAGGGAGAGAGGAGGAGAGAAACATTGAAGGAAGAAGAAGACATAGCAGGGAGAAAGCATGACAGAAACCGGTGGAAACAAAAGCTAGAGGTAAAGAAAGATGGAGATGGAACCACTGAACCTCCCCCCAAAAAAAATATTTAAAAAATAAATAAATAAATAAAAAATAGAGAGATGAATAGAGATAGAAATAAATTAAACACACAAGAACCCAAATAATGGAGACTAAAATCCTTCACAGCAAGGACTATTAAGATGGAAGGGACACGGAGAGAGAAGGAGAGAGAGCGTTACATGCCGGCCTGGTAATTAGGCCAGCGCTTTCACGCCACGACAAAAGGCAAGGCCTGGTTGCTAACGTACCTGCCTGGCTGACGTCAATGGCAGGCAACGAGAGGCTATTGGCACGTGTGAAATGATTTCTGCACGTTGCTATTGACAATCTCTATCATCCTCAGTGCATCTCATTCTATCTCTCCGACTACCCCCCCCCCCCCCCCCTCTCTCTCTCTCTCTCTCTCTTTCTCTCTCTCCCCAACTATCTTTAAAGTCTTTTTCTCCTTAACTATGTTTTCGTCACAAGCACAAATGTTCAATATCAATACTACCATCTTTCTCTTCATCTCTCTCTCTTTCTCTCTCTCCCTCTCTCTCTCTCTCTTCCACAGTAGCTTTTTTCATCTCCTAGTAAAGTCTACATGTATTTACCCTTACATTTATCTCTGCAATGATAATCACAACTTGTTGTAGGGATGACATTAAACATCAAAGACACTTGTTCCAGGACACAGTTACTGATAAATGCACGAAAGTTGATATGGTTGCATGCCACTGTAATTAAATGTATGATTCGTCGGAAGGAAGTGAGTATTGTAATCAACACTTACGCCCTAGAATCAATAACTTCCAAATTGCTATCTGAATTTATCACAGGAGGACAATTTAAGAATCGCATCTGCATTTAAACTGATATCTACAGATAAAGGTACAAAATGTTGGATTACGTTAATGTGCATGTCAGTATCCACTATGAGGATAGAGAGAGAGAGAGAGAGAGAGAGAGAGAGAGAGGGGGAGATGGAGAGAGAGAGAGTAATTGTAATCAACACTTTCGCCAAAGAATCAATAACTCCTAACTTGCTATCAGCAATTTGATCAAAGCGAGATTACATGATCAAGGAATCCCATCGTCTCTCTCTCTCTCTCTCCTTGCCTTCTATCTCTCCCTCGGTTGCTATGTGGCCGGGCATTCGGTTGCCATGGTAACTTACCTTGAGGTCACGGTGCACGACGTGTCGTTTGTGGCAGTATTCCACAGCGGCAATGATTTGCATGAATTTCTTCTTGGCTTCTTTCTCGGACATCCGGCCATGTGTGTCTAAGTAATCTGCGTAATGAAGTAGAAGAGAGATATAGACAGCGAGAGACAGATAGAGAAAGAGAGGGAGAAAGAGAAAGAAACGAGAAATGAAAAACAAGAAAGAGTGATATCCAGTAGAGAGATGTACAGAAAAAGAGGAAGGATGGAGAAACAGAGAGAAGAAAAAAGTGAAAGAGAGAGAGATGGAGGGGTCGAGAGAGAATGAGAGAAAGACAAGATGAGAGAGAAGATCAAAGAAGAAAAGAAGAGGGAGAAAAAAGAGGAATTGATTAGTTTCTGTTTTTGTTTTCTAAAGAATAATTGTTTATGATGCCCACTTATTAAAATATGAATACAATAAAAGGCAATTATCAGGATGATAACATATTCATGTAGTTGTGGGGGAAATAAAAGAAAGTTATACAAGACATAGGTACATTTAACAGAAAAATCTTGATGTAACATTATAAATGCACACTGTGCTGAAATAATGTATTAATCTGTTCTACAACGTAAGACAACAAAAAAACATCTGTTTGGATCCAGTAGGGTGTTTTAACACAGATTTAATGACCTTCTGACATTAATGTGTCATATCAATAGATTCAAGATTCAAGATTCAAGATTCAAATTTCATTGTCCATAATAATACAGAAATGTGTTTCCCATTGGTGTTGCCTGGTTGCCAAGGAGTTACTAGTACTAGTAACTCTTTGGTGTTGCATAAAATATAAGCATGATAATGTTTGCTGAGAGACGTACAGAAGGGTGCCGAGTTAATGTTGAAAAAGAATAATTCAACACCACCATTCCAGAACAAGAACACTATAGCACATACATGTACATATTACAGCATCTGTGATTATAATCAATATTAATCATTTGTGCAGGAAATATGCCCTGGAAAGAAAGGCATTATATAACTGAGCTATTGCATAACATGTATATATAGGCCTCTAGACATATCAGCCTATACTGTAGGCCTACGTATATACATATATATACATACTTGTAGGAAGGTAAATTGATTTTTATATCTATAAATAAACATGATTAGATGACACATGTACACTGTGCCACTTTCAGAACTTCGTGAATATTCATAGCTCTCGTGAATATTCATAGCTCTAATGAATATACCTCATCATCTCATGCATAATAAATCTTGTTTACAAGCAAATCACCAGCTGGGTCTGGCTGTATGCCAGCCTGAATTATGCAACCAGCCTTTGTAAGCAGCCAACTAAACTAGGCAATGGAATGTCTCAAAGTTGACCTCAAATGAGGACAAAAGGTCATGAAAGGTCAGCTCCCTGTGAAAGGTGTCAATGGCCAGTGATATTGTAGGAGTAGACAGTAGTGGAACATATAAGCAGAGACAGAGACTTAGGAGGAAGAAAGGAGAGGGAGAGGGAGAGGGGGATCAAGGAGAAGGGATGTGACAGACGAGAGAAAGAGAAAGAGAACGAGAAAGAGAGAGAGAGAGAGAGAGAGGGAAAGAGAGAAGAGAGAGAAAAAGAGAGAGAGAAAGAGAAAGAGAGAAAGATAGAGAGAGGGGGAGAGAGAGAAACAGAAAGAGAAACAGAAAGAGAAAGAAAGAGAGAGAGGGGGAGAGGGGGATGAGAAATAAAAAGAGTTATAAAAAGATTTTATATTAATGTGATGTCCATGTAACACTGGTGAAAATAGAAATATACACTGTAGGAATGGTTTTGGCAGGGCACTATATTCATTGCATAATATTTTGTGCCCCAACCTCATGGAATGACCCAGATATATAGGCACGAGATAGAAAGAGTTAGAAACGGAGAGAGAGAGCGAGAGGGAGAGCGCCGCCGACTTGAAAGGAATCCCAACCACCTTCCAGCGTGCGTCAATTAACATGAACGCTGTAACCAAAGACGCGCCTTCATGCAATATAGGGCAAACATTATAACCCTCATCCATAGATGCACAGCCAGCCCAGTAATTCAGAGCCACGACCCTGGATTCAGAGATGACCCCTTTGCAGGGGGTCTTTCCAAAAGTAATAATGAAGACATCGTCCCTGTGGACTCTAAAATCTAAATTCGAGCGTAATCCTCAAATTTGCCGCCAGTTCCTTCTATGGAAAATTAGCAGAGCTCCGAATGCAATGTGGGGCAAACATACTGTAAAACCCTCCTTCATGTGAAGATGTACAGTCAGCTCTGTGCATGTAGTTCATGTGCGCAACCCTGGACAGGCAACAACTTTGCAAGGGGTATTATAAACATACCGGCAGAAATTAATTGCTGTGAGACCTCTCTTCTTATGCTGCTCCAGTGAATCGCATTAAAGATAAACTTGAGTACTGGTAATGCGATTGCATTGTGAAAGAAAAGGTGTGGAATGGATCAGAAAAGTTGATCATATAGCATGTAAGTAATGGTGTGTAATGCAAGGTTCTAGAGTCATCAAAATCATCATAAATTTGGCAGAGTCTTGGTAAAGTAACAATCACTTACACAGATAGATGTATATGGGACAACACACATGGTGTCGGGGCTAGTACTGCCCTGATTTCCTTATCTTCCTATGCTCATTACTCAGCCAGTATACATTTTCTTCCAAAATTGTTTGGCACATGACATTTATTTGTAATCTTGAACATTCAGTGTAAGTTTTGTTAGATTCTGTGAGAATTCATTTTCTTTTTTTTTACCAGAACTCAAAGTTTATCTTTAATTGATTGTTGCTAGGTAGGACGAACATTATCGCTTGTCCTACCTAACCAAACGGAATGTATGCAATCATCATTCTGACTATTGAAATACAGGTGAATTATATAATTTCTAACGAGGCCCTCAACAAAGATTGTGCATTAAATTTGATTACAAATATGAATATGGCCTATTAATTAACACTTGTGGCAGGAGTCATGTATCAGGGTCTGATTTTATAGACTATCCAGCATCCCCGTTGAGAGAAGGCAAGCATTGCTACTGTGCCATTGAAGTTCAAGAACACAGAGCTGCATTGCTGCGATGATAAAACACTGTTTGTACTGCACTACCTGGTACGCAGGCATGAGAATTATATTTCATAATCACTGGGTCAACAAATGAGATCATATCATGGTTCAAGGCTCCAGCTATGATGATGCAATGGTTCAGCGTAACTTACAATACAATATAATGGATCAGCGAAACTTACAATGCGATGTACATGTACCAGGCAATTGTAGGCCCTACATCAAAACAGTTTAACTTTACCTTTATACACCGATGATACCAAGCAAAGGAACATGTATGATAGGACAATATCATACTAGTTGAACAAAAGTTGATCTTGGTGACTGAATAGTTTGTCAGAGGTTTTCCTGACATAACAACTAATGTATGCAAAGTGACTTTAATCTACATGCATAGAGATGCCATTTTGCGATTGCATGACCAGAGTCTAGAGCTCTGTCTTGTTGGCTCTCTGACAACCTGAAAGCTTGCAATGCTTGCCCGCCATAGCAACAAGACATATATGCAGACTGGATCCTAACTGCTGCAGTTCATTCACGAATAACAAACTAATGGAATAACTCGTCAGTTCAACCTTTCAACTAGGTTCCCCCAGAAAGAAATATCCATAAATTTGGATATGTTATCATAAAACTGTCTACCAGTATTGGGGAGGTTGTGGCACTAAAAAAAAAAGCCCACCTGGGGTTCTAGGATCAAGAAGGTTAAGAACTGTTATAAGATCAACTGAACTACAGATGGTGAACCCCTTGTTCCTGATCCTGCCCAAGTCACCGGCTGAACCCAACCAAGTGAATTGGGTCAGCGGGATAAACCAAGCATGTCACCGCAGCGCGTCATCTGATGAGCTCGCCATGCCCCTGGTCTAACGACCTTTACCCTGTTCGCATTTGATACAAAATCTGGAACGTTTTTTTACCGATGTCTAGCCATTCAGGTAGTAGTCCAGAATCTACATGTAGCCTATTTAATTTTGATCTCCACCACACCAATGCAATATGCAACCTCGATCCTGGCCACTACTTACTTGCTGCCAGCCGAAGATGGCGTGATCATTAAATTAGGACGCCCGGCGAAGCTTTGACCGGGCTGGTGAGCATACTTAGTTACGAGTTTGTTGATTTAAAGCCATCTTTGGCAGCATGAATCAAGTATAGGGAATATATAGAACAGGCCAGATTCTAGACTATTTAAATAGGGGAAGAGTATACATGGATCTACATCTTTAACAAACAACCAAGTAAACCTAACCTAAAATCCAACTGCAGCAATAAACCTAACCCTACATGTATCTTTGATGAAATAAGCCCAGAGCAATCTGCGGATTCTGCGCCCAAGCAATTTTAGCAGGAGCATATATATGTCGGAGCACAATCTTCGCCCCATTATCCTTCTGGTAGATGGAGCAATTAATCCACCAGTAAGAACAGGGCATGATGTGTGTCAGGGCCGGATGTCGCCCGCCAAATTCCCGGCATTCCTGACATGACTCTTCCTCTGACATCCCAGTACAACTCGGATGTACGCGGACACGAGAGCGGGTCACAACACACACACACAAACACGCACACGCACGCCCTCGCTCTGTTTTGTTATGAATGCGTTGACCGCCTTCCGTGTTAACCTTTGGGGTGCATCCGCGGAACTCGCCACATCCTACCGTCTACCAACGCGGCAGAGATCCTGTCTGCGTTGCTTCGGTGTTGGGAGGGAAAGGGTTAAAGTATTCAGGTATGCACTGACGTCAGAGAGAGTAAGTCAAACATGTTACATCTATAGCCATGGGATGAGGATGATATGTCTTTACCGACAAAACATTTATTGTACTAAATATACCTCGGTTGGGACGATGATGAGGAGCGGGAGGGGTAAACAATATTGGTTCTGACCCCCTTCCTCCAAATTCTTTTGATGATGAATCATGATGCAACGTCCAAGGGTTAGGAATCGTGTTAGGGGAGTGGGAACGGTTTGACAGAATGAATTAGAGGGCAAATTGATGATTTCTGTAGGAGTCTAATGCAAGTCCAGCAGAGGCTTAGAATAGTTTAGCACTGTTCTTGTACTGATAATGGGTGATGGATGAGTCCTATAATGGCGATGATTGTGATGATGGATATGGTCGTGGTGATGTAATAGTGATTGTGTGGCTGTGACAGTGCTGATGATCATGAGGGTATTGATGATGGTATTGATGATGGTATTGATGATAGTATTGATGATGGTATTGATGATGGTATTGATGATGGTATTGATGATGGTATTGATGACGGTATTGATGATGGTATTGATGATGGTATTGATGACGGTATTGATGATGGTATTGATGATGGTATTGATGATGGTATTGATGATGGTATTGATGAGGGTATTGATGATGGTATTGATGATGGTATTGATGATGTTTATGATGGTGGTGATAGTGATTAAGATGATTATAATCGTCATAAGGATGATGATTAAGAGAATGATGATGACGATTAAGAGGATGATGATGATGACGATTAAGAGGACGATGAGGATGAGGATGATGATTATGAGAATTCGATGATATTGATTACTATATTAATGGATGATGATAACAATGATGCTTAAAAAAATGACAATCATGATGATGATGATAACCATGCTGCCAATGAAGGTGTAATGACTATGAGAAAGATAAAGCTAATGATAAAAGCAACCATGCCCCAAACACATGATTGTATTTTCAAAGCAAAGACCAAAATTCATATTTATATAGAATGCATGTCCACAAGCCCTCACGATCCTTGACCCAATTATGGAGAAAGCAAACAAATCTAAAACTTTATAACAACATAGACAGCTGCACAAAAAAAGTTGTAAACTTTAGATAACATATATAAACAGACTGAAATATAAATTGAAAAGGAAAATGATGAAAGAGAAATGGGACCATGCAGATGCCAGCACAAACAAACTTCTTCAAGCTGTACGTGGGGGACGATCTTTACAACCTAGGACATATTCACACAAAAACAACTTCCTTACGATAAAAGAATGAGGTCAAATATGTTTTATCAAGACTCGGTATGAATCGAACCTTTTCAACAGCACCGAACCCTGGACCGGTGTCTATTCACAACCAACGATTGTTTGCCAACACAAATAGATTGCATCGCGTGCGGACGGACATACTAAAAGCATCAATCGCTTCGAGAGGAACATGTGATCACACACTGCGTTCACATTCTCACTGTTTGCATAATACCATAAAATCATAAAACTTCACAAATTCACTAATTAACTACAGACTCAAACTAATTGAGTCGCACTGATATGGCAGTGAATTTTTAACATTTCACTTAAAAGTTGCTGGTTTTATATTACTTTTTAAGTTAATTTCATGTTCGTTTTACCTGACTGCTAACAAAGCATGTGTATGATTGGAAGGAAGCAGCCAGGGGACTGACAGCTTTAAGTCCTCTCCGAGGGACTTGGTAATGAGGATTAATGCCTTACCAAAGGGCACTAGCCCATTGACTTGAACCTCACCATCACAAAAGACCACTGCTCTACCACTGAGCCATCGTGCCTTGATCCTCCCTGTTAATAAGAGCACCGTTTATGAGAAAATGTAAAAATCAGGAAAATGAATGGTTGAAACTTACCGAACATTTCACCATTGCTTGCATATTCCGTTACAAGATAGAGCATGCTCTTCGTTTCCATAACCTACAGGAGAAAAAAAAGAAGATAAAAATAAAATAAAAATTCAAGATTTCAAAAAGCTGACAGTCACTCTAGCCCTCAATATTCTTGAGATGCCTTCCCGAGTAAGGCCTAAACCATAGTAACTTACTAGACCAAGAGTTCCTTTTTTTTCCCTTTTTTTTAAATTTATTCTCATTAGCAATGCATCATGCAGTCTGCAAACAGTGTTAAAAAGCTAGATGAAAAATTCTCATTACCTGATGAATACATCCACATGTAAACCAAACTACAGGTTAATTATGATATGAATAAAAAGATGGACTTCAATTAAACCTGATATTAATAATTCAGTAACAATAATGTAAATTGTATTTCAGCTTGTCTGTGGGTTATATTATAGACATACATGACAAGTTGTTCTAGAGAAACAAGTTGTTCTAGAGAAATATTTTCAGTTTCAGTTTTTCTCTGAGTGTCCTGTCTCCATTACAGGTCAAATCACATAATCCTCAAGCCTGGACCGCAGACTACTTAGTTTACTGACACACAGCCAGCCGTACACCAATGACGTCAATAGCCGATGCATGAAGATAAAGAACCAGGGTACTAGGAATGCAATTTATCCTAAGAACAAACACCCAACTTCCTAGGTCCCTTTCATCATTTCTCGCCGCGATATAAAGAGAGTAAGAAACAAAAACAACTAAAGGAGCCCCCAAAAAGCCAAATAATAAAAATGAGAGGAGAGATCTGTGTGTGTTTGTAGTGTCGAGGAATGAGGAACTATTTATAATTAGGATGGGACAGTGATTAAACTTGAAGCTACGCAGAGCGACATGCTTGCCCTCAATAAGTACGTCATAAAATTTGGTTTTGCGCAGCTTACAAGGATGTCTAACAATAGACAGATTGAGGGAAAAAAATTCTCACATATTTTAACACAATAGAATACATGTACCAGACGGCATAATTCATTTGAGAAATCAAATTAAAGGCCATAACTTCAAAACATTCATATGAAATTGAATAGAAAACTACAAATACTAAGAGAAATAACATGTACAGTATGAGAACCACAGAAGAATACGGCGAATCAACCATAAATTCAAAGTGTTGAATTTTCATTTATTAAATGACAATTAATTTGCTCTTCTTTCACAATTAATTTTTTATTTAACATCGTGTGAGACACAATTTGTTTTCTTAAAATTATACACTAAACCTACTACAATGATGGGTGAAGGCCACAACAGGGACCCGTTTCACAAAGTATGACAAATTTTCAATGACAAATGACAAAAATCAGTGACATATCTACTGATAACCAATCAGAAGCAAGGATTTCAGTAGCTTATAACAAAAACTGTCATTTGTCACTGATGACAATTTTTGTGAAACACCTCTCAGGTCTTTAACGTTAAAAGCCTATGCTTGCAAAACATATATTTACTACAGGGATTGCCAATTACCACTTCACTTGTGACCAACGATCGATTCAAGAAATGTGGTAAATGAGGGAATAAATGTAAATCAAGTCACAGAAGTAGATCAAGGTAAAACTTCCAGGAACTTCCAGGTAATTCAAGGAAAATTCAAGGAGATTAAATCAGTTCCATTCTTCTTTTGAAATATTCTAAATGTAACGGATTACGGTACCTTCAAAGGAACAGATCATGAAGCATTTAAAGAGACCTTCCAATTACAGACATACATTGTACAGTAGGCGTTTACCAGAATATTATTGGCCTCAAGAAAAAACATTGAATTGAGCAAGGAACTTGTATAAAGTAAAGATCTACATATTCATTGCCACATATAGATCTTGCCCACTAAGTCATCAAAAGTAGGGTCAATTTATATTTTAAACATACATTTACATGCAGGTTGTTCTTGTTGCAGGCCAGAAGGGCATTTAGTAAACTCATATGAATTTACGCAGAGCTAATACCGTTTTGCCGCTCAACAGACAAAACACAGAGCAAGACTGTCGATACCTTCTACTCCCATAGTTATGTTGCACACATTTTAATTTGCACAAGAGACACTAGGCCTGTCCTCATCAGCTGGAGTTTGCCAAATTAGCCCGCTATTTCCCAAATAGCAGGATATTTTGGAAATAAGACCAAGATTTATCTGGATATTTTCTCGACCAAATATCCTGCTAATTGCAACTGCAGGCTGATGAAGAAGCAATAAACTGGTTGATTTTCGATCGGGATAGTTAAATTTAGCAGATAATTTGGCAAACTTGAGCTGATGAGGACAGGCCTATATTCAGATTCAAGAAATCCTACCTGGTATAGTTTGATGACGTTGGGATGTGAGAGCATCTTCATGATTTGCACTTCCCGATAGACCTTCTTGAGATTGGACTCGTCTAATCTAGACTTGTCTATGATCTTGATTGCAACCTGAAACGACAGAAGAAGAAAAAATTAAAGAAATTAACAGACATTGCAGAGTAGAGTATGACATGACAGATACAAAAATAAGAGAATGTAACAGACGATGCAGAGTACAGTCACTTATGGATGTTTTTGGCACATGTATAATAAAGGAGATTTTTGTTTCAAATTGTGTTTTAGATCTTGTAAGCCGTACTTGTCTATGATCTTGATTGCAACCTAAAACAATATAGGGGGGGGGGGGAAATAAAAGAATGTAACAGATATCGCAGAGTACAGTCATGTATTCATGTATTGGAACATATAGTAAAGGAGTTTTTGTTGTAAATTGTGTTCTAATATATGCAAGCCGTAAAATATTAGTTTAACAGCCTTCTAGATGTCAGCATACAATCATCAGTTCGAATTCTTCTAACCTACAATGTACAAGTTCTACTAAATTCTCTACCATTTCCTGCTCTTTCGACTCACTTCCGTCATGTTTCTCCCCCTTCCTCCTCTCACCTCTTCATCTCCTCTTCCTCCAGCCTCTTCCAACTTATCACCTTCCTTCTTTTTCTCCTAATTTCTTCATCATCCTTCCCCTCCTTCTTTCCATCCTCATCCAATGTTCCTTTCTTCCTTCTTTCCTTCTTCTTTCCCCTCCTACTCCTCATATAACATTCCTTTCTTCCTTCTTTCCTTCTTCTTTCCCCTCCATCTCCTCATATAACATTCCTTTATTCCTTCTCTCCTTCTTCTTTAGCTCATTTTTCTTCTCTTCTTTTAATTTTTGTTTATACTTCTTCTCCTTTCCTTCTTCCTTTCCTCATCCCACTGAAAAATCTCTATACACTCATAACAGCCTTGCTATATATTTGAGATTTGAGGTCTCCTCATCTATCTTATCCTCTTCCTTCTCCTTCTTCTCCTCCTCTTTCTTCTTCTTCTCCTTTTCTTCTTCTTTTCCTCCTCCTACTCATCCAGTCCTCCTTCTCCTCATCCTCATCCATCTTATCCTCTTCCTTCTTCCTCTTCTCCTCCTTTTGCTTCTTCTTCTCCTTTCCTTCTTCTTTTCCTCCTCTTCCTACTCCCCCTCCTCCTCATCTATCTTATCCTCTTCCTTCTTCTTCTTCTCCTCCTTTTGCTTCTTCTTCTACTTTCCTTCTTCTTTTCCTCCTCTTCCTACTCCCCCTCCTCCTCATCCATCTTATCTTCTTCCTTCTCCTTCTCTTCCATCCCCCCATCTTCACCATACAAAGTAATCATGATGAATCACACACATGTATTGTGTTATAACCAACAAGTATCATGGACTGTACGAACAAGTACGCCCGCTGACATTTACACAGCGCACCTCCAAGATGGCATTCACGGAAAGCGCAAACAATCGGAAAACACTATAAAAAGGTGACCACAAAAATGGAATTCATTTCTGAATGTACACCTACTATTTACACACGTGGATCTATGACTCTATGTAAAATATGGAAATTTCAACCTTGTTAAAGTGAATGTGGTTATATGTGGTTGCCAATTTCTTTTGTAACAATGAGAGGAAATTATGGTAAGGTAATACAAAGACAGAAGGTGGAGGAAAAAATAATTCATAGTGTCGACAAATACAGCATTATGTTTCTGATTTCATGAAATGGGGTAAAAAGAAAGACAGCAAAATATAAGGGAAAGGTCAGATTGTAAACAACTCTACATGATAGAGACTGAATGAAAACAAATATTGTCAACAAATACAGCATTTGTAAGAAATAAATACAGATTTATATTGCAGCATACACATGTTCATTTCGGCCACAGAGAGAGAGAGAGAGAGAGAAGACAGTTTTATGTTTCTGATTTCATGATATGGGGTAAAAAAGAAAGACAGCAAAATATAAGGGAAAGGTCACATATAGATTGTAAACAACTCTACATGATAGAGACTGAATGAAAAGATATAACTTACAAGTACAAAAGGGCTGAAGGGGAGAAGGCCAGAGAAAGAGAGAATTAAGGCAATGGAGAGAGAGAGATAGAGAGAGAGAGAGAGAGAGAGAGGAAGAGACAGGAAAAGAGAGCAAGAGAGACTGAGAAACAGAGAGGGAGAGACAGAGAGAGAGAGAGAGAGAGAGAGCAAGAGACAGAGAGAGAGACAGAGAGACAGAGAGCAAGAGACAGACAGAGAGAGAGAGGAATATAAACGTACAGGAGAAAAGGAGAGAAGGCAAGAAAGAGACAGAGAGAGAGAGAGAGAGAGAAGAACGTCATCATCTCAGCCATCGTACGAGGTAGATTGATTTTTCTGCACTGTGTACATCACCTGGCCCTATGTTTGAGTAGTACCTGGCCGCCTACGTCATACCTCCTTCTCCCAAACACGTAAAAAAAAATACCGCATATCACACGATGTCGTCCTTGTTTTTCAGACCAGTTCTTGTTTTCCGTCCCGGCCTTCTGTCTGAGATGTTTGTTGTTCCCATAACAGAATATTTTTGCACGATTCCCCGTTATTTCCTTTGAAAGTAGAGAGATTCGGCAAAGAGGGGGCCACTTATAGGCACTTGTGACGTACATGTGTGAATAACATGAGGGTCACGGATTGAGGGGGTCTATTTGCAGAGGTTGTTCAATAAAGTTTGACAAAACTTTGACAAGTATATGTCACCTTCTGAATTTATGTCAAAAGGATATCAATATCAATGTACCGGTATGAAGGTTAAAACTCTAGGTAAATATGAGTTATTGCCCTTCTGGCTTTCAATGCAAATGTAGATTAACATCTTGCCAAGGGACGTTAGTGCCTGGCTGGGATTTGAACCCCGTACCTTGTGATCTACTGTCCGCAGACTCATCCACTAGACCACATCACCTCTGCTATTTGGTACAACACACATGTGGGCAGACATTAATGGCAAATTACCTGCTAATTCTACAAGTAAATTTAAGAATTGTTAAAGCTGGAATTATTTGTTCATCAATGTCAATTTCAATTGAAAAATTTGAAATTCTTGAATCTGACAGTATACCATCCACTCAGAGAAAGAAGGGTGTTTACACTGTGTAAAATTATGTGAACAGACCTAATTGAGACTTTGTTCACACACTAAACAGTATATGAACAACATGTGCATTACATGAACACACTGATCTTACTCATTTTAATATATAACTCAATTTACATGTTCATCACATCAGTAATTATACAAGCCTCTCACCACTGACATCATTTAAATCGTGTTACAGTAACTAACTGAGTCGATAATTACACTCCGTTCTTTCTACTTCACCATGACAGAGACATTTCTAATTGCATTTTATAGCACCATAAGATTCCAAAAATATCTTGAAGGGTGATACCGGGTAATAATAATATTGCAAGCCCCCGACCAACCCCTTGCATTCAACAGCAGTCATCACATATAGGGACATTTGTACACGTATGTGTCTGCCATAGACGTGGTTGTGTAGCCCCAGATGTCCCTTAATATGTTCCCCCTTCGTCAAGCGAGTTGCGTAAATGGACTCTATAAATAGCTCCCTCGCTAGCATGCTTGCGTGTATTCTAGGCCAAGCTATTTGCGGAAGATGCCATCCCTAAATAAATCTGTGGAAATCACCCCATATCTGATTTTGTCCTCTCCTTCATTGCGTCCTGTTTTCATTCACAGTTCAGCTTATCTGCTTGGAATATTTTGCATGTTTTGGTATAGTATGTTATGAAATACATGTAAATTACATGTAACATACAGTACATGCACAAACAAATTTTCTTTAAATTACCTTTTTAATTGTTCATACAGACAAATATCGAGCAAACAAATATAAGCAGGGGGAAAAAAGTGATGATCTAAACTTTAAATCCGCAATTACAGAATATTTCGCTATCAATCATTCAATGGAATTTCTTTGTAATTTAAAAGAAACATCTTTTATCAATACAACGTCAATAGTTAAACATTAATGTAAATTATTACACTTACATGTAGATAACATAGAAATGTACACATGTATATTCATAAAGGAGATATATATAATGTATGAAGAGAGGAAGAAAGAAAAAGAGACAAAAATGGTCCCAGTAGGCTTGTGTGTACAACTATACATGTACAGTTTTACAACTTAATGACTCATATACCCTAAAAAGTTGTGTATTTTTTAAGTACCGGTATGTGAAAATTGATTTTCCTGATTTATGCTTTTTGAGAATGTGGCATACTAAAGCTTACATTTAAAGGTATTCAACAAAGTTCCTATTTCAACAATCCACCTTTCATTCTTGAGTTACATTGTATGAATAACACAAAGACATCAAATTGACAAGGGGTATGCACGATTTACCGGTAGGTGTTGTATTAGTGTGTAAATGCACATGTAGATGTACATAAATGTACATGTATGCATTAAAGGATTCAAAGTGCCCTTTACAGGTTGTGACAAAAACAAGTAAAATGAATTTGTAATTGTACCTTTACATTGGACATTCTCTGGAGGAAAACATCGAGATTGCTGTGGCCTCCCCTTGGTTCTAATATGAATAACAGCCATCAGTCTCTTTGGACAGATGTGTGTACAGAGTTTATTCTATGTTTAATGCATGTCCACGAAAAGAAAAAATAAATTAAAATACCGTTTTGTGTGGGCTTGCAATTTACATGCATGGTACGTAATTAATAGTGCTACACATGTACATGTATGTAAGATCAATGTATTACTGTAGAATTGTTGGATAACAGACTGAATAGTCATGTAATATTACAGAACAAAATGAATATGAACAAGTGTTTGAAGGCCTGCAATTGACATGCGTTGTTGTAATCAACTGTGTTACTGCTACACATGTATGTATGTATTACTGTACAATTGTTGGATAACAGACTGAATATTAATGCAATATTACAGAAAAAAATGAATATACACTTTTTTGAAGGCCTGCAATTTACATGGATGCCTTGTTACTGCTACACATGTACATACATGTACCGGTAGATCAATTTATCCTGTAGAATTGTTGGATGACAGACTGAATATTC